CCACTTTTGCTTTTGTAACATTGTAAATATTGTTCATAAAATTTAACATTCTACGTCGTAGGTTTTCAAAGTGCTCCGTACGGAGCCCCAGTGCTCCGCGAAAGAAACCCAGGGGCTTCGCGAGCTATTCGATTATATTTCAAAATACTGACTTGGCTAATTTTGTAGTTGTTCAAAGAAGCTTTGATAAAATTTGACAACAATATAGCCTCGAAATAGGGCAAAAAGACGTAATTAAAAATTGACATTATTTATAAGCTGGAGCGCAGCCAGGATTCTTAAGAGGGGGGTTCGAAATTGGAATCGGAAATTTCCGTGCAACGTTCTTCGCGATTAGAAAAATCGGATAACGAGATTTTTGTTGCGTAAAATATTCAATTCATGAACGATGCAAGCATTAAAAGTGTCTTGTCGTAATAATTTAATTGTGCTCATCGTTACTCACGTTTGATTCGAGAGTACTATTAGGATTACTAAAATGAAAGAATATACTAATCTAAAATAACATAAAATAAACTGTCAACTATAAATAAATTGGAGTCGTATTTTTGCGATCTTGGGATTTGTCAAACTTGATCTGTTCTTTCGCACTCGAGATTATTTTTATGCAACATATCGTCGTTCAAAAAATCACAAGGTCTGGGCAAAATACGAACGATTGAAACTCATTTTATTGCATGCGGCTCCGTCGTTATGTTTCAGAATAAAAAAAAGATACACCGAGCGCACAATTGACTGTGTTACGATTTCACAACCCTAACCTAACATAATACCAAATTTTGTGATTTACAATGCCTATAACAGCGTTTATAATCTGACGTGAGTCTGCTAAAAACCAAACTTATAGTGTGATCTTCCATTTTATGTTTTAATATTTTAGAATGCCGTTTTTCAATCAAGAAATTTAAGTTGCGGATTTACCTCTTTATTATTATTTTTAGCATTTCGTCGCTGATGACTATAATATGACAACATGTGTTTCTCATTGAAATTCATAATTCCCCACGTGAACAAAAAAGCAATTATCGTTGTCATTGTGGAACAATACATGTATATGCCGAAGGGATTTTTTGATTTAGCGAGAATAAACGCCGGGGTAAAGATGTTTAAAAACACGCCATGCTGACGAAAACAATCGGCGATTGTAACAAAATGCAATCGCGCACGTTATTAGCGATCTTTTAAGTCTTCCGAAAATGTCAAAAGGGAAAAGATTCGACCCCTAATTTATTAATATGCTTGTCAAGTTTACAGCTTTAGTATATATAATTTATCTTTGAAATTTAGATTTATTTATGACTTGTATTAACCCTATTAAAAAAGGTTTAGCATTTAAATTAAGTATAAAGTACTTTTAACTTACTCAGGAATATTAATCTGAAAGTAACAATTTTAACATTTCTTTTGGGGCTCCGTGAATGATAGTCAACCTTTTCAGGGGCTCCGCAACACCAAACGTTTGAGAACCCCTGTTCTACGTCACACTTACGTGACCCGTCAGACTAGGTGGGCATCATTTTTGGCCCCTTGTCGAAAAGCCTTGCCCACCCCTGCTTTAGATGTATGACTCTACTATAAAGTACATACACATTCGCAAACCTGTATTCATTCCTCTCAGCGACCCCAAACATTCCCTTTCTCTAACCAATGCAGCTACATCTATATCATTTACTGCGTCTTCGATTGTTTATTATTTGGCAGACGTGCAAGAGTGGTTCACGTAGCCGCTACGATTGCCAGATCTACATAGGGCGATGTCAGTATAAATCTAACGATACGCAACGGGCGCCGCATAATTCTCTTTAAACAAGTTACGTTTTAAGGCCATTAAATATATGAATTAATTATGTTTACCTAAGAAATCTTGGTATAATATTTCTCTACTTCATGACCAATCCTCGTTTCCTATTGCATCACGGCCTACGTGGGCAGCCTCCAATCTATATAGTCTGCGATAGTTCCATTCTTTTTCAAATACGTGCCCACGTTCTGTGTAATTTCCGATGATAATGAAATTATGATTAGGAAAAGTGGAGCAAGATAATTCATATTCATTTATTTATCAATAGTGCGTCTGCAAGATTTCGACATTAAATATTGGCAAAGCTAGTTTTATCTACTTTACCAAATTCTTTTACTTATTCTTTATATTATTAAAAAGCAATGTCTTAAATATCTACATTCAGTTTTTTGATTTTTCAAGTTGAGCTGTTGTAGTCGAGTCGAGATTATTTCTACCTCTTCATTCGGCACTGGCCTGGATGTTGGTCGATTTTCAGTCGTGTTTGATGCTTCAAGTTTTTTAGAGTTGCCGTATCAAAAGTCCGGAATCGTTTGGTTTCTGATTTATTCAACACTGTAAAGCGTGAACCAGGGATGTGCAAACTGCGGCCCGCAAGGAAAAATTGTGCGGCATGCGGAGAAGTGCAATTTTCGAATGGCGTTTCACACGGAATTCGTTTAAGTCTGAAAAGCAGTTTTCTTTAAAAATCTATCCATTTTTAACTCACCATTTTGGCAAGGACCCCTAACAATGTTGTAAGCTCAATAAACAAACATAAAAAAAATTTGGTGCCTGCGACTACTAGAAACGCTATCTTAAATAAAGGCGTGGCCCGCTGCTTCACCCAGTTACTTGTATGTGGCCCTTCTGTGTAATAAAGGTTGCACACCCCTGGCCTAAACTGTGACACGAAACACATGCCTTGAATCCTGGAGAGAGCGTGTGAAAGCACTGTGTAGGGCCGATTCGTCATTGGTACTAACAACCGGAACTAACTTTTTACAAGTTTGGATTGTATGAAGGTAAAAAATTTGTAAATGTGAATGTGTCGGATTTATGATGTAAAAATATCTAACCAAAAATAATGAGTGTTCACCTGATTAACAGAGAAAAATTTTTGAACACTGACATTGTAACGTCCCTACGTGAAAGTAGGGACAGAGCAGGAATACACATTTTAGAGGAACATACCGGGATCGCGATTTATTTTTTCAAGTCGAGATCGAAATTCACTCAATATAATTCTACGTTTGTAGAAGCAATGACAATTGGATTGAGCTAACCAGGCCGCAGACGACAAAGATTAAGTGATTGCTTTTATCTGGTCACATACTCACCAGTCGGTGGCAAGATATTGACCACCTTCGAAATTCGAAAAATCTCCGTATATTATGTCAACACAATTATTTTGCTGTAATCAGTTTTTATTTTAATCTTCTATTCAATGGCAAATTCAGACGTTTTACCCACGGTATCGGAAAGTTTAAAATAATTTGATTTTCTTGCATACAAATTCGATTTCCACGGAATTTACCTCATTCCAAACTGGAAATTCGCCTAATGCCGTCACAATTATTTGGCTGTAAACGGTAATTCAAAGTTTCCTCCTCCTTCCTGAACCCCTGCAGCATCCAGTATTTCCTTTTTTTGCGTCTACCAGGAATAGCTGGTACGTTTTATCTGGAAGTTGTTTATCTTGCTTTTCGAATACCTAACTATGCTGCTTGCCTTTATAAACTTTCGAAAAATTAACCAAATACTACATATTTACGGTTTATTATGATCTCCGACTTTTTTTCAGTAAGATATTAAGATTATTGCCCCGATAGCATCTGGACATCGAAAAGCGATTCGCAATACCAAATTTAGGGTGCAATCATGGCTGTCGTCCGTCCCAATGGTTTGTAAACTTTTTAGTATCGCCACCTCTAAATCCAATTACCAAAAGCCTAATAACTCCTTTCACATAAATAAAATCTCAAACCCTTGAATAATTTACTCCGGCAGGAACATCACTCGAGTAAGCCACATTTAGCAAAAAAATCATTGTTTTTCATTTGATCGCACATATATGTTACATTTGTTCTTCCTCCCCTTTCAAGTATCATAGTTACTTCATCTCGCAGCTGGAGCAAACGATTCGAAACCTTCCAGCGTGATTCCGTTTGTAACAAAGGCACCTTAAAATTGGCACCAACTTCTTCACAGAGCGCTGCAAATATTCTTGACGTTGTTGCATTTTCATAAATGTAGTGGCACTCCTCGAAGACCTGGAGATAGTGTTTTCATTGCTAAATTGCATTGCTTTCATTGAACGAAGCACGAAGAGCTACATTGTTGAGTAGCGCTTTGAAGCCCGAGTTTGTCCCCAATCATAGAAGGCCCACCATCTGTACAGATGCCAACAAGTTGTTTCCAATCGAGCACATGTTTCTCGAAAAACAATTTCACAATTTTGATGACGTCTTTCTCTTTACATGTGGTTGGAAGAGGTTCCAAAAATGAATATTGCTCTTTGATGTCGTTTTCGGAAATGAATCAAGAGTAAATTAGTAATTAGGCAAAGGAGGAAACATCTGTAGATTCGTCCACTTGTAAAGCGAACAGTGGAGTGACTGGTCCTTAAATTTTTTACTATTTGCTGTAAGATGTCGTCACTTCAGAAATAAGATTTTAGATGGTATTGTTTGAAAGCGAAGTTATCTTCTTTTTAGTAGATTGCAGCTTCCCCAATATTGAATTTTTTGCTTCAAATAAGCAGGGCTTTATCAGTTCCTCGCCGATGGTGTGAAGATTTTTCGCCCTGGATATCCGGAAGGCAACGCGACGATACCTCCAATGCCGGATTGCTTTGACGTGCCCACATTCCTTGGAATTGAAAAGGCGATTTTTTAAAATATGAGATTATGGTTGGAAATAATCGACCGTTTTTCTTGCCAAGTCGCCATGACAAGACCTAAAGTGTTTCTTCAATTTGCTCGATTTCATGCTTTCCTGGGTAAGTACCTCACAGCAAATGACACATTGCAACTTTTCAATAGAATTTTCAATGACACTTACGAAACCGAATTCTAAAACAGAAGCTTTATAGGTTCTTTTCGATGAAGACATCTCAACAGTTCTCAAATTGCACAGGATTAAACTGCAGTGCAGCTGCAATAACAGCGAAGACCGTTCACACCCTCGCTTCCAGATTATAGAAAAATTGTCGACTTACCGGTTTTCAACGATATAATGCTGTCGCCTGTTGAACCTTGCGATCTCCTCATATTTGGCCTATAATCTGTACGGTATTGTTCTCTCCCTAATAAACTTCGCGACTGACTAAATTGTGATGTAACAAGGCTCCGTGACTATAAGCGGATGATACACGTTCAGTTTTTCCGAGTCCGGCAAAAAGCGTGGATAATATAAAGGAAATTGTTGGGAAAGTGAACATCTAAACTACCCCCAAAAGTGCCCCAGTTTGGAAACCACTGCCCTAAAGCGTACTCTTCGAACCATGTACTGCCCCATTTCCCCCTTGGATAGAGGATCTCACATTGGAGGCATTCATCCTCGGGCCTTCCAATATTGGCATTATCGTGTAGAACCGCTAACAACATTCTACAATCTAGAAAAAACATTATCCTGTTATAACTTGTTGGACACATCAGTGTACATAACGTTTGTTTCAATATTATGTTGTTGTTGTTAAATTATTCTTCTTCCTCGTCATGATGAAATCGCTTTTCTCTGCGCGCAGACCAGTGATTGACAATACTCCGCCTATACCTTTGCAATATGCCGCAAGCAGCAAACTCAGCGTTTATTCAATACTTTTACCGAGACCTTTAAAAATATGAAATACAATATATTAGTAGGTTTTTAGAAACGTGTCTGATGTGTCATTAAATGGTGTAGTAGTGGTAAACTGATCTCGCCCATTTTTCACTCAGACTTTCTATTGCTGATGTCCTTCTCTTGGTTTCTTGCACATGTTACAATTTCAAAACCGAATTTTCCCACAGTCGTAGCCAGATTGCTCATGTGTATCCTTGGGGTTTGCAATGTCTTCAATATTCTGAAGTTGTTCATACGTGTGCAACGGATTACTCTGCAAAAATCACTTGATGCCTGTGTAAATTCGAAATTAATAGATAAAAAATTTGATATAGATTCGTTAGGTGATATTAATGAAACAGATAATTTGGAATATGAGTTCTTGCGAATTCTCTTTGAACTTGGGTTTTCAAAAACAAGAATGTGGCGACAGGTTACTTACCATTCCTATCACTCCACCGCCCTGCGGTATGTATCCACAAACGTATCCACAAACTAGAAATCTCTAAAGTAATGCATCTATTTCACAACCACCAGTTGCCTGCAGCTTTTGATGATTATTTTGTTAAGCTTGGTAACGCACATGAACATAATACGCGCTCTTCGAGAGGATCCAATTTATTTGTACCCCGCTTTTCAACGGGCAAAACTCAGAACTCCCTGAAATATAAAGGCGTTATAACCTGGAATAGTATTCCCAATGGTTTACGTGACTCCACCTATGCCACATTCAAAGTAAAGTATAAAAAATTCTTACTTTCTTCTTACCCGTCTCCTGCCAGCACCTTGATTTGATGTGCTATCAGCATTTGCCTTGCCATTGTTAGCTCAATACTTGTTCAGATCCACAGCCTATAAAAGTGTCCCCCAGAACCTGGAACAAGGCTGTTGTGAAGGATTCGATTTTAGTGATTCTCTTCCATAATCCCCACAGTTTTGCCCTTCGCTATATATGCAAAAATGTACCCAGTAATTGATTACCTCACTAAACCTTAAAGGGTGAGATTATGCCTACCTAAGGTTATAATCGAATAATTCGTGGGTCATATTTTGTTCTGGTTTCTATGATAAGGGTTCTTTTTGATTTAGTGATCCTCCTCTCTGAATTAATATTGATTTATTTATATAAATTGTTATTTGGTTCTTAAACTAGTGTCTCTATATTTTATATTCTAATTGTGTTGTCTGGTATTTTCAACTTTTTGCATTTCTTAGTTCACAACATAGAATTGAATGATGTATTTACCTGTTAATTTTCCATTTCTCTGTTTACATGAATTGGATTGTATTTTCATCCAATACCAATTCCTTCCTCCAACTTTCCAATGACTCCAGTTCTGGAAACCATATCACAGTGCCAATACTTTCTTGAACTTGCTCCCATATTTAAGATAATTGTAACCATCAAGATGTGCTTATATTTCAAAATATATTTCCTAATAACTAACTGCCTTAATTACGTATCCCGGCGTACATGGCCACTATCATACCGCGCGGCCTCAAAAGCAATATTCTTGTAGGGTTCCACGACGCTGACTGTGGTCAGACTGCTGTTATGTTACTATACCGTTGCCCATGGTTACCCTGGTTGTGCCTGGAGTCTCTTTTTTGTTTACGGTTTTGGATTTTCTTGGAAATTCTTTCCTTCACTGCTTAAATGTGTTCGATTTATTCTATTCTACTTGTATCAAAGTTAGACATTTATCACAGGTGTCGCTGCTAGATAACCAACATTGGTTTTTTTGCGTCACCCTTCACCATGAAATGCCTTTATTTATGTTTTCTCTAATTTTTGTTCGCATTACGTGTATGTTTCATTTTGGTGAAAAATAAACGACTGACTGACTGACGTTTCACATTCATTGGTAAGGTGACGTCCTCCGCACCTCGCTGATCCCGACAATTTTTGAAAATATGTTCAAAAGACTGGCAGTTAAAACATCTTAGTGGTGGCGGATTGTATACTCGTACTGCAAATCTTAAGTACCCCATATGTACGACTGAAGGCAAGCGGGTAGTCTTTCGTACCTTAAATCTCTGCGACTTTATGACGTGTTGATCGCTTAGAAAGCTTAATTGCTCGGAGTCAGATATGTCAATCGGCACTAATTACACCTTTCGACTGAACGTTTGTTTGTTTTTATTCTTCCGCTTTAATATGAATTTTCGCGTCACTCAATTGTTTATAATTTAACAGTTTCGTCGTTTGGGATTTGCTACAACGATCTACCAATAGTTCTCCACTAGCCAAAACTTTCACGATTTTGTATTCACCGATTTGTTCACGTAACCATTTATTAACTGCATTAGGATTGTATGTCCTTATTGGACGGTCAACACCTGACACCACAACGCGGAATTGGTTACTTTCCGCTTCTGTCGTTTTAGTTAATGCAACATTTCTCAATTTGATTGAAGGCCCAATTTCAGCCTCACCCCGACGTTTATTTGTTTGTTCTTCGATTCCATACATATCCCACTTTACCGGCCGTAGCCGATAAAATGGGTTAAAATATTAAGTTTCCCAATAAGAAATAGGAATAAATGCAACTCACAATTTTCCTTGTAGTATATGGGTAGTATCAGTGATGAGCTGTAGCCGGAACGCCGTTCCGGTTGTTAGATATTTTATTGCATTTGCGTTCCGGTTGTTAAAATAAAATTATGTCATGAAAAGTTTAGTTTTTTCCATGAACTTAGTTATTAACTATGCGTTTTGTTTTGTAATAATTATAATGAATATATCCTCGAACTTTGACCCTAGAAAATGTCAGTGCTGCGAGCTAAATTTCAATTGTTACGCCATAACATGCCATTGTTACGCCATAACATGCCACTGTTACGGAAAAATCAAAAAGTTGATGCCAGGCAAAATATTTTTTCTCCAATGTTTTCTTCGTCCGCCGCTGCACTGGTTTACAGTTTGACACTATGAAACGAAACGCTAGCTTACTATCGTGGGTAATTAGAGAAGATTCAGATGAGAAATATGATAGAGTTGAATGTGTAACCACATCAGATGTTGTTGGAAGTGCCTCTGCTGCAGATATTCGAAAGAATGCATCCCTGTGCCGGTTGTGTCTGCGCCAAAAGACCCATCCCATGCATGTCCTGGATGTTGGTCTATTGAGCAATTAGACTATTTTAAAACGAAGTATAGTTTTCTTTATTGCGATAGCGGCCGGTTGGGTTGTTCTTCGTGTAAGAATGCATCAACTTTAGGAGTTTCTCAACAAAAATCTGTTCACATTTCTTCCGAATGGCAAAGATGTACTATACGACCTTCAGGAAACGATAAAATGAAGCAGCAGCGGTCACTGAGAAAGAAACTACATGAGCATTCTAATTCTAACGCCCATAAACTATGTGTACAATTACTGCAACAAGCCGAAGAAGATATTCTGACAGAAAGTTTCAACAATGTTAAACGGAAGGATATTGAGATAACAAAAAATATTTTTAACGTTGTATACAGCCTAGTTAAAATAAACAGGCCGTAAGTGTGAAGTCAATGAAAACTCACCTTTCATATTTATGGATATTGTCGAATGCGCTAGTACAAGCGCTGAAAGTATACACACCACCCTTCTCAATTACGGATTTGATGAAAACTACTTGCGAAACCATCTTGTTGCCTTGTGCTCCGATGGTGCAAGTGTCATGCTCGGGCGAAAATCCGGTGTAGCTTCTAGATTGCAGCGACTTTTTCCCAATATAGTAATCTGGCATTGCCTGAATCATAGACTTCAGCTCGTCTTGGACGACGCCGTTTCAGAAATAAAACGAATAAACCACTTCAAGATATTTTTGGATGAAATTTACTCCGTATATCACCAGTCCAATAAAAATCAATATCAACTTCACAATATTTCAGCCGAACTTGAAATAACTAAAATTGGTAGAGTTTTAGGACCACGCTGGGCTTCCTGCAGCTTGCTGTGCTATCTGGAAAGCTTATCCAGCGTTACATTCTCACTTTAACTCCGTACCCAAATATTCAGGCATGGCAACTCGTCTAAAGAATCTTACCTTTTTGAAGGACCTTGCACTTATGATCGACATTCTCACGGAAATTTCAATACTTTCTAAAGCGCTACAGTCAAGATCGACCACAATATGCGGCGCCGACAAGCTGATAAAAAGAAGTATTTCATTTTACAAGCAGTTGATTAATTGTAGGGGTAATTATGAAATTAAGATTACTGAAATCATTGAGACACCGCAGTATTCTGAGATTAGGCTTGCTGAAAACGACCGATTTCCGGCATTGCCCAGAAATGAATTGATAGAATGTATAATACTTAAAATGGAAGAACGAATGATGCATGGCAACAATATGACGACTCAAAATACCATTGATTTGTTCAACTCTTTGAACCCACATAGCTGTGACATTGAAAAATTACTCCCACCCTTTAAAGAAGGCGAGGAGAAGATATTTAAATTA